AGTGTAACCTCGGGGAGTGGCTGTAGACTTGTGTTGTTATATGATGTTGTGTTTATAACTAAATCTTATTTTGATCATCTTAATAATATCATTTCTATCTCTCAATCCCATTTTCATGAATATAATAATCAGTTTCTTTTAATGTCAGAAGGAAACATCATTTATGGAAAAAGTGGACTTGACATTAAATTGACCAGCCTGTAGATGGCACTATAGTCTGTCTCAGTCTTGTGTACAGTATATCACGATAGCTCCAGTATACATTCCGCTGCAGTGTGTGAAGGTCTTTGGACCACAGCTGCCTCTGATAAGGATCTGCAGGATGAGGAAGAGATGCTCATACGGTCTCTCTTTCTTTCTCTCTCTCTCTCTCACACACACACACTCCCATCCATTCACATCTGCTGCTTTTGAAGCAGATGAAAAGCGGATGAGATCGATGAATTGTTGGACACATACAAACACAACCACAGGCAGTGTTGTTGCAATTTAGTGGAAGAGAGCTGAATAGGGGTGGTTTATGAGTCAAAAGAGGAACAGGTGAGGTAACCCTAACCACTCGTATATTCTTTAATACACACCCACATGTTGTTTCCATCACTTCAGGGGACACTACACTGACTTTCATTCATTTCCTGAAGACCTACCCTAACCTTAACCACGACCACTTGCCTAACACCTAACCCTAACCTCACCTTAAACTTAAACCAAGTCACTGCTCTAAAATTCAATAATTTACATTTTGGGGACTTGCCTTTTGTCCCCATAAGGACATCAAGTCCCCAGAATGTGACTGTGTAAATAGATTTACGTCCCCACAACATAAGTAATACACGGCCACACACACAGGCATCACACATGTGAAGGCAGGCTGTTGCCTTTAAAGGGGCCGAACCTCCTCCAACTGTCCCATGCATGCTTAAATGATGTCAGCGCGGCTGTGGAAAGATTTCTGTCACACACACACACACACACACACACACACACACACACACAGAGCACTTCTTTATCACACACAATCGCTTCACACAGCACACACTACCTTGCCTTGCCATTTTACTACTTTTGCAAACAAATACACACACAGTGATTCTGACTTTCTTCCTATCCTTTTCTTCCTACGCACACACAGACCCACACTTGGCAGGATGTGTGGGGAGAAAAAGGGGCCAAAAGACAACACAGAGATTAGGAGGCTTTTGTCACAGCTCTGTGGCAGACTTTAAAGTTCTTGGCTCCCTTCCCCTCTGCCAGATTTCTTTCTTTTCTCACCCTGTCTGTTCACATCCCTCTCTTTTCACAAGGAGAAGGTAAACATTTGTTAAAGAGAGATGGAGAAAAGGAGTAATGGAGGATAGGGAGGATGGGTGGAAGAAGGATGGAAGCCGCCTGTTGCCCAATTTTTAGCCTCTTTTTTGTGTTTTTGTTTTCCTACGTTTATTGGCAGCTTTGTGGCTGTGTGGAAAAAGAGTAGGGAA